CTGTATCCATAGCGGCCAAGGTAGGAAGGTTACTCGGTAACGGCATCAAGATTGTCCCTGGTGATGAGCATTGAGACCAGTGTTCCACCGTCTTTAGATCGTCCGCTGATGCTGACGCTGATGATTGGGCGGGGACTGAGTCTCTTTTTCAKTTTTGCTTCGCTCCATTGCTTATCCTTATCCTCTAGCTTAAGCTTCTTCTTGCGTTCAACTTCTGCTATTAAAAGAAGTTTAGCTTGGGCTTGGACAGGATTCACCGTTCTCTTGGACTTCTTCTTGGGAAGGACTTTAGAAGCTAGTGACTTGGCCAGCTTTAAGCTGTCTTCAGTCTGCTTCTTTTGAAGCTCTAGCTCTTTTTCAGCCCATAATACCTTGAGTCTTTCAGCTTCAGATAGGAAGTCAAACTCACCACCAGTAGAGGTACGAAGAGGAATTTTTTACCCTAGTCTGGTCGAGCGACTCCTTTAGCTGAGACATCTGCTGGTCTGTTGGAGCAAAAGAGCTGGGTTGATCATATACCCGCTCCAGTCGACCGCAGGTTGTTGATGGGATATGAAATCACTACCTGAGAGGTAGAGTCTTCAAATAAGGTTTGTTGAGGACTTAAGAAAAGTACCTTCAAGTTACCTTCTTCAGCGACCGCCTTGTCTTTCGACTTGGAGTCCTGGTTCCCTGATGGAGTCGATTCACCTTGCCTTTGCTCCCCCTGGGATGCAGAGTCCCCGAGAGCAACACCTTTGGTGACGGTTGATGGCTTCTGGAACTTGATGGTAAAGTCATCTTCATCATCATCGTCATCGTCACCATCTAGATCATCTCCGGTGTCTGGAATGACAGGTTCATCATCTTCTTCATCCTCATCAACATCATCATCATCACCAGCATCAGTGATGGTATGGAAATCATCCCTAGGGATGGCTTTGTCAACCTCAGCTAGAGCAGCTTCGGTGGACGTGATTACAGGAGCAGCAATTACATCAGCTTCGAGAGCCTCAGCTTCAACTGCAACTGAAGCTGATACTGGGTAACAGCCTGAGAAGCTGTAGGAGCATCAGATGATCCACCAGCATTAGACCTCATCTCCCCCTCTCTGGCTAAGACTCGAGAGAATTGGCCAGAGAGTTCGTCCAAGCACTGACGCTGGAGAACCATGGATTCCTCCAACCTTTGCAAAGTATTGGCCAGAGTTGTCGTTGGCTCACGCGTCTCATGGAGCTGGGCGCGATCATCGGCAGAGAAGGAAGGTGCAATCAATGGAGCTGGTTGACGGACAGCATCCAGGATTTGTTGAAGAAGACTAGTCTGCTGATCAGCTATCGCCTGAGCATCGTCAGCCCTGCTATGAAGAACATCAATGGCATCGTTGTTGGTGTGAACAGCTTCTTGGAGAGTCTGGAGCTGACTCTGAACTTCTTGAAC